TGGCAGGTAACTCAAACGAAAATCTTAAACATATGTAGCTTTTGAAGTAAGCAAGCCAACAGGAACTTAACAGAAAAAATTAAACATGGAGGACTAACATATCCACATCATCCCTTAGGGCCAGTGAGCAGGACACTGAGTGAATCTGTATCTTGCAGCCCTGGACTCACACCTAAGTATTCCAATGAGCTACTTATGCAACCTTAGGCAAGCAAAAACAAAAAGACCCCCAAAAGTATAAAATAATAAAATGTCTAAAATGTTCAGGACCCAGTGATCAATAAACAGCAACTACCACAGAAGAGATTCCAGTATATGTTACTATATCAAAGTCTGAATTCTAGTTTTTCAAAGCTAAAACATGATTGTTATAGTACTTGAAATAAAAAAATTAAGAAACAGGTGAATAAATTTAATTTCACTTGTTGGTTTTACCCTGCCTGACAGTGATGAGTAATAACTAAATTGCTTTTCTCAGGGGCTAACACAATGGAGTTGCTGGTTTCTGAAGGAGGCACACTGTCTCAGTCGCTCATGTTTGTATTTTTACACCAGGATTTTTGGAATCTGGAGTTATAACTTTTGAAGTGTTTCCTTGTGTAGATGTCTGGCCTCGTATTTGTTGGGTGGATGTTCTGGTCTTTGGTTGCTATTGCCCCACTTTGGGTCCTGGCAAAATGTGGCAGCTGTGGAATCCCAGAATCCCAGCCAAGAGTAGTGGTTGTGAGGCTCCAGCTATTCTGCAGGTTGGCATGAGTCACAAAAGACTGAAGATGGGCGAGAAGCAAAGGCTGAAACGGAGCACAAGGAAGAACTAGGGGGATGCTGTGTCCACACCAAGAGTCCCAGCTCGTGAGTGACAGAATGTAAGATTCAATTTGCTTATTCTACTCAAACCAAGTCATCTCACAGGTCAGTTCGTCTGGTGGACTAATGAGCAGTTATGAAACAGTAACATTTAACAACCCCAGCTATTTGCATACTGCTGCACCACCTTAAACAACTTAGCTGTCAGGTTCAGCCACCAATATTAAGTACACAGAATCAAAAGCATTAGTTTTGGAGCCAACAGCACTCTGGATTTAGTAATGAAAATTTCTATTAAGGTTGAGAATTTAAATTGTGAGGGGTTTTACTATATCTTATTAAATCCTATGTACACAGAAATTATCTTTTCTTAATTTTCTTAAACATGTTTGTTGTGTGTATGTGTATGGGCATGTCTGCGCCATAGCACGCGTGTAGTCAGAGGACATTCCATTCTCTCTCTCTTCACCACTTGAGTTCCAGGAAGTGAACTCAGATTGTAACATTTGGTGGCAAGCATTTTTACTCATTGAGCCAACCTGCCAGCCCAGTTCATCTATTCCCTCCCTCCCTCCTTTCTTTCTTGGTTTTTCAAAATAGGGTTTCTCTGTATAGCCTTGGCTGAACTGGAAGTCACCTCTGTAGTGAGTCCGTCCGTCCCTCCCTCCCTCCCTCCCTCCCTCCCTCCCTCCTTTCTTTCTTTCTTTCTTTCTTTCTTTTCTTTCTTTCTTTCTTGTTTTTTCAAGACAGGGTTTCTCTGTGTACCCTTGGCTGGCCCTGGAACTTGCAGATTCACTTGACTCTACCTATGGGTGCTGGAAATATTTTCCTTCTTAACTTGCATTTGTAATAAAATTTCTTACAGACAAACATAAATTTTAAACTCCTTACATGGTATTGGAGTAATTAGAATTGAAAACAAAATAATATTTAATAGAACCATCTGTGAAGATATTATAGGAAAATAATTTTGTGCATACAGTCACCTTTGAAGACTGTATCTCGTCCCTAAGTTAGTTAAGACTGTAGAAATCCTCCAACTCATGGCAATTTTCAAGGGCTCTTGGTACTTAACTTTTGAGTTCTATACTCTATGCACCTGGAGTTAAAGGAAAGACCCTGAGCCACCAGTTATCCAGGACTTCATGAACAGTGGTTGGTCCTGGTTGGCCAGACAGAGATGGATGCAACACATATTCCCTGGAGTAAGGACACACACTTTTATCTGCTTTTCAAAGAGTTTTCAGGAAGCTCAAGAACCACTGTAAGACATTAAAATGGCCAGGTATGTATCAATGTGACAAGTATCTCTAAACTTTGACACCATGAGACAATTCAATAAAACAGGCGGTGAAGTTCAGTGTCACAATAACCAAGAAAGCTACTAGAGAGGGCAGTGCTGTCCTCATCCACAGTGGGTCAAGCCTGAGCCATGGTGATCGGTCCTGTGTGTTCAGCACTCTAGAATCACTATTATTTGTATTACTAAATTTCTAGTTGCTAAATTCAGAAGACATTTTTAGTCCTTCTTTTATTTGACCAATCAGAGGTACTCAAGAACAGACCCCAAGGGAGAGGAACAAAAGAGAACAATTATACTGACTCAAATGTATGCAGATGCCATGATGAACCCCATCTCTTCGTATACTTACCTGAAAATTTAAAAGAACAAAAGTAGACTCTGGAGTCAAACTGGTTCGAGTCTTGGCTCCAAAACTTTTTAGCTGTGACCTTGGACAATGTTTCACTCTTCTGTACCTCAGAGCAAGTCTCCTTGTTTGTAGAAAGGTAGAAGCACACTTATTTCAACAAGCTACTTGTATCTGAAACCTCTCACCACTCCTTTCTTGAAAACCGATTGAAATTGGTCTACTTAGTTCCCCTTTGATGGCTCCTCCCTTCTATCTCCAAACTTCCAACCTAGATAATCTTTGACATTCTAGTCAACTCAATTGTTTGAAACTACAAATCTGAGAGCATCCTGCACCACAACTATGGTAGGGTCAAGCCCTCAGCAGTTAAGCGATGCCAGTCTAGTCACGACCCTGCTTATCCTGAGCTAGGATGAACCAAATGTGTCTCACTTGGTATACATGTCTTTCACATGCCATCACCTCTATCTAGAATGCTTATTCAACTTCTCTAGAAACAAGTTAGCTGTCATTTAATGTGCCTTCGCCAATGTCATACCACTGTTATACTTTCTACTTGGGATGCCTGTCTGTGGGCATGTTTTGCCTAGTCAGATTTTCCTGCTACTACCTATTAAAATCACACACCAGAGATGGTGCTTTGTTTTTCTCTTTGTCCACTGCCTGGAACTTCACCACTTTGTTTTGTTGTTCATCACTTACCCCCATTTTTACTTCAGTGCCCACTGAGATGAGGTAGAAGGTGCCGAGAGGATATGTGTACATAATTTAACTAGGCAACAAAACTTCACACTGAAGGGAACATTCTAGAAGTGTTTATTTCATTGTTGACCATTAGGCTGCAGCATGCAACTCTCAACAATGAGCTGCCGCCCTCCATTCTTAGAGAAGCACCAAAAACTATGGTGCAACTACTTAGGTCTTCAGTCTTCCAAAGGCTTTTTATTGCCAATATCAATATTTACGGGATAAGCCTTTTAGGGAATTAAAAGCACTTATTCTCTACAAAAAGTCATTTTGTATTTCATGCACAAAATTCTAATTGGCAGATTTATGTTCCCAATAGAAGAACATTTATTCTAGTTCTGAAATGATCAGGAATACAATAAGCATCCCTACCAGCCTTCTCATAAGGAAGTGAGACTGTTGTCCTCCACCAGGAATAGGGCAGCAGTGACAATCCCTAGGGTTATAAAACTGCTTACTAAAAGTCTTTCCAAAGATGTTAAGAAATAAGAAGTTGGCTCATTTTCCAGTACAATTTAAAGAATTGTTTGCAGTATCTGCAGGAGTTATAGGTTATATTGTAGGCCCTTGTGATAATATTCAAAGGCCTATTCTTCCCACTTATAAAATTCTACCTCAGAAGGTAAAAGGTGAAATCCCCATTATCCCTGAGCAAAAAGGGGAAAGAAGTCTTTCATTGGTTAATAGAAGTCATTGTTCATGAGTTCTCTGCCTCTAGAACATTCTTGCAGAATTTACAAGAACTGAGAGAGGAATGAGGGGCTCTCTATAATGTACTTGAGTATTTGTGTGTGAGTAGCTGATCAGCAAAGATAATACATTTAACTACCTACACTGCTGAGTATGTCACTTTCTGAAATTTGGGAATATATTGACTGAATATTTATGGGAAGAAACCAAGGATTTAAGCAAATTATGATGGAAAGAAAATCAAGAATGGGGAAAAGTATACAGAACAAAGTGGGAGTAAGGGGCAGGCCAAAGCTGGAGTTCTGGGCTGGGTCTTTCTCCTCAATAAAGCAGGGCCTCTGACTACCCTCCACTACACTCACTCTATGGAGATCAAACACTCCAAAATAATAATGTGCCAAGAGAATTTAAGTCTTAAAGAGTAAATGAAGAGGCAGATGATCTCTGTGAATTCAAAGCCAGCCTGATCTACATGAGTTCCAGGACAGCTGAGGTTAGAGAAACCCTGTCTCAACAAAACAAAAAATAAAATAGAAAACAAACAAACAAACAAAAGAGTAAATGACAGAAAAACTTTAGCCTTTTAGTCAAGCAACACTATATAATTTCAAAGCATATTAATGTAACTGATTTAACCCCAAAGCAACTGTGCAATAAGCAAAATATAAAAAGGAAAATAACAAAGGCTAACTTCCTACAGTGGCCAACACACAGGATCTGTGCATCAAAGCAATTAACCTTCACATACTTCGAGTCTTACTTGAAAGTCAATCACAAATGTCACCAACCAAAGGAATGTTGATTAAAGTTAAGATTCTCCAAAAGGCCGCCTTCTTTGAAGGGAATTTCAGGATGTTGCTAGCACAGGTTGGCTACCTTAAATTTCACTGATGGCTCCATCAGAGAGACAGAATGCCCCAGTTCTGCTGTCTTTCAAATATACTGGGAGGGAAAGAACAAAACAAACAATCTACTGTTCCCTAATACATATGGCTTAGTACCCAGAGAAAGTCTCTGCCCCCAAAGAGACTTCCACATGGGTTAAGCATCCTTAAACGAGGCGCCATCTTTCCTTTTCAGGACAGGTCTTTTCTTGCAAGGTCTTTAGAGGCAGAAGTTCCACTTGGGTTCTAATACACAGCCCTGTGAGCTCAGTTTCCTGAAAACATACACCTGCCGGGTTCTAGATTCTCCCTTACCAGTGACTAGGCTCACTACATCTCACAGCCACCAAAACCGCACATACACTATCAACATGATGAAAAATACAGCTACTGCTGCAAGTTTGGCGTAAGTGGAACGCATGTTCAGGTACTTCGCATCCTGGCGGTATTTCTTAGACAGACTGGACAAATTGTTAGCCTTTGAGTCCAATGCTGAAAAGAGAAAAAAGGAAAACATTAATTAGACCCCTGAAGTATTTTACCAAAACATTAAGGCATAAAAATAACCAAAATGACTGACAGAGTAAACAGACCATGGAGTTTAAACAATGTTTAACAATAAAGTAATAACTGCATTATCAAATTCGAGTAGGTACATAAGACTGCTTTAGAGTGAGAGTTTCAGCATATGATAAACACCTGATAAGTATTAGCTGATATTTTTCTACATCTTTTTGTTTTTATTTTTTGTGTGGTGCTGAGGGCCTGGAACACATAGACACGAAGAGTCGAATGCTCAGCATTACCTGGTAATTTATTTTTATCATGTCTATGTGTGTGTGTGCATGTGCCTTGGATCCTCTGGAGCTGGCGTTACAGACAATTGTGACCCACCACGTGTGGGTATTAGGAACCACACTTGGGGCCTCTGCAAGAGCAGCAATCACTCTTAACCTATGAGCCATCTCTCTGTCCTTAATATTGTCATCTTTATGTGATAAGTGGTCTAAATCACATATAGGATAAGACTAGGATAACAAAAAAAAATTCAATTAATCAGACATTGAGAATTAAGCTATACTTCCATGGTGATTGCTAATTCTACAATTCTTCACAGAGTAAAAATTATTAGAAAATCAAAGCTATCAGACATAGTATTTCAACACACACAGAGAAGTTAAATTGTAATTAAAATACAGAGACAGGTTCTAAACAACCAAACAAACCCCATAAATATCTAGTAAGTTAAGCCTTTAGCATTTTCAACAAAGACTGCCCCCAACATCTGTAATGCTGCTGTCTTCATACATATGCTAACAATGAAAGCAAATATTCTGATTGACATAAATGAATTTCAATCCAACTGTTTTTGGAAAAGTTTTGAAAACCTGTTTCATAATCTTGGTTTGTTCTTCCTTGGCAATGCTATCTAAGTGAGGGTGATGGCGAACACCATATAACCCAGAAGTACGGAGACTGGAGACACAGGACCAATAGTTTAAGGTCAGCCCCTGCTGCTTAGTGAAAACATCTCCAGACAGACAGACAGACAGACAGACAGACAGACAGACAGAAAACAGACGATGCTTTGGGAATATTTAGTTACTTAGCAGACTGGTTTTGATTGAGAAATATGGTATTACTTAATATAAGCACAACAGTTACTACATTAGCAACAGGCCCTAAGAATAACAAAAAACCCAGCCATAAAAGAAAACATTAGGGAGAGAAATAACTGTGATAATGCTCAAACTGTCGCTCTGGCCAGTCTACCAGAAGCAATCTCAACTGGTCAGGTATCTTTTTCTCCCATTTTAACTTTTATGTTTAGCATACAAAATTATTGGATGCCATTATTACCCTTTTAGATATATGTATCATTATACATTTTATAATTCAACTTCCTCTCCCCGGCCCTCCCCAGTGAGTGCCCCTTTCTGTTTTGTCAGCCCAGGGATTCCATTAACTTCTTTCCCTTCTCCCCATCTCTTAAGATTTCTCTACTGCTCTCGTGTAGGCCTTTCCCTAGTTTGACTGACACATATGAAGGCAGACATTCAGTGTTTTGTCTTTCTGAGTCTGGTTGATTTTTACATAATGATGTCCAGCTGGACAGGGATTTGTAAATAATGTGTTTACTGCATATCCTGAGTACACAGAACAGGGCACACAGTCAGTGCTCAATAAACATCTGCCAAGACCCTTCCTCTTGAGAAGACTGCACCCACATCTTTAGTGCACACTTCCTATATTTCCCAAGGGATCTCAGGAATCTCTATCTCTCTTAAGATGCTTGTTTAAATCTCTATCAAAGCCATTTATTAAACTACAACTTTTCTAAAAACAATTACTGAATGACTTAACACTTGTTGAGAATAGGAAAGCAACAACGACAAGGTCAAATGGAATAAGCAACCATTTGTCTGCTTAAGGCAGGGTGCTTTTATGCGGCTCAGGCTGGTCTTGAACCTGTGATCTTCCTGCCAGAGTAGTAGGGCACACACTCCACTCCCAGGCTGAAATAAGTAGAATTTAAGAGAATCCCTTTGTATAAGAGCATTTTGAAACACATGGTGTATAAACACAAGATTCTGATTAGAGTCATGTGGTAATATTTACATCACAGCAGGACCATGTGATATGCTAGAGGACCATGAGAATCAAAACACCCGTGATTCTTGCCTTTGTGGAATTTGCAGTTTTGTAGGGGTGACACCTTTGAGTAAAGGAACATAGTCCAGCGCTTATTAGGCAGTAAAAAAAGGTAATTTGGATTTGTTGAAATGCACAAGATTTACTCTTCTGCCTTCCATGCGAAGCAGATGAGCTATAAAACAAGCAGCTAGAAGGAAAAGCGGAGTAGAGAAGATCAATGTTAAAAACAGAGAAGACGAGGAAAACACAGTTTAAAGATGCTATCTCCTCACTGTCCTGAAAAATGCTCTAGTCAGGTAAGTTTTCCTTCTACTTAAACGATTTCTTTCAGAAACTATTTCCTGTCTATATTTTCTACAACAAATGAGACTCAAAAGATATTCAGTTCCCTCTCTCTCTCTCTCTCTCTCTCTCTCTCTCTATATATATATATATATATATATATATATATTCTCTGAGGTAGTTTCTTATCTACCCAAGCAGGCAAATATACTTAAAGTCAGAAGTGTACATCCTTGTCAATCAGCGTATCTGTCAGTTTGGCAGCAAACAAGAGCTATTCAAGAGAACCTTACCTTGTGGATAAATGGAAATACATAAATTTGGGGTAAATTCTACTTTACCTCAGGTAGAAACTCTAGTACAATAAAAATGTACACCCTCAAAATTTGATGTTTAAGGCTGGGTGGTGGCGGCGGCGGCGCACACCTTTAATCCCAGCACTAGGGAGGCAGAGGCAAGCGGATCTCTGTGAGTTCAAGACCAGCCTGGTCTACAAGAGCTAGTTCCAGGACAGCCTCCAAAGCCACAGAGAAACCCAATCTTGAACCACCGCCCCCCAAAATTTTTTTTTGATGTTTAAGGAATATGAAGCTGTATGCTGTGGTAACTTAGGACTATTAACATAAAGCTAAATTCTTCAGTACACAACAAAGGCAAGCCCCTGCTAATATGCAGCAAAGTTAAATTAAAAAGATATTTATTATGGAATCTGTCTGCAACCATAATGATGAGAAATACAAAAGTATATGAAATGCATAGAACAATCTGTCTTCAAAGAGCTTAGGACTGGGGGTGGGGTGGGGTGGCTTGGTTTGCAAGAAACTCCCCCTCAGACATGAGGAGCTGAGTTCAGATCCCCATCTCCTACACAGAAGCCAGGTGTGGCATATGTCTGAATGCCCAGCACTAGGGAGCAGAAACAGGCAGATCCCAAGAGCTCACTGGCCAGCTGAATCACAGAGCTCCAGGCTCAGTGAGAGATCCTGACCTAACAAATAAGGTAGAGAGCAGCAGAGAACGTACCACTACATGCTTCTAGCAGAAATAGGCAGCTTGGCTGTTTTTGAGGTGGCTTTTTCTGTGCCAGTAAACATTATCTCATTTAATTTCCAACTTTTTTCCTCCATAAATTTTTAGCTCTATTTTATGTTTTGACTGGACTTTCATATGTGTACACTAATATTTTTGTTATATAGGATCAAAAGAGTCATTATACCTGTAGCTTTCAAAAATAACCTCTTAGGTATTAATATATATTAATTGAAAAACTGTGTAATGAATAAACAGTTACAATGTTCCTATTCTCTTCTGGGTATTTTTTTCTATTTACTTTTATGCACAGACATACAACTGTATGCACACACCCACACAGACATGTATAAACACTACATGCACATGAATACAAAAACACACAAGCACACACAAGTGAAGTTTACATGCATACATCCAATATTCAAATAACATTAAACACATATATTTGAATCTCATCTATCTAGCCATCTATAATTTAAAATTGTTCTAGATAATTCAATCACTATCACTGAAAATTTTCTACTTAATTTTACATACTGACTAATTGATGTTAAATGTGGGACACAGCTGTAATGCCAGCATTTAGGAAGCAGAAGCAAATGTTTCCAGATGAGTCAGGGCTACACAGTAAGCCTTTGTCTCTAGGGGCTGGAAAGATGGCTTAGTTGTTAAGAGGACCTGCTGCTCTTGCAGAGGAGATAGGTTCAGTTCCCAGCACCCACACAGTGGCTTACAACTATTTATAACTCCAGTTCCAGGGGATGTGATGCCCTCTCCTGATCTCTGTGAGAGTGCACATTTGCACACATGTGGTGTACACACATACATGCAACAAGAAAATAAAGTAAGTGAATCCAAAATTTTTTAAAAAGACCATCTTAAAAACACAAAACAAAGTAAATATATTTAAGTATTTATGGTAAGTATAGATTTATATAAAGTATACATTTAAGAGACATCAATAACAAATATATCACATAAAAGTATCTGGTATAAGCTAGGGAGAAGGCTCAATGGATAAAGCATTTGCCACACATGCAGAGAACCTGAGTTCAGATCCCCAGAATCCACTTAAAGTCAGATGCTGTAACTCTGAAGCAAGAGGACAGGAGAGGATATGAGAATTCCCAGAAATTCACAGGCTAGCTAGTTTGGCATATGCAAAGACAAGAGTCACGCTCTCGTGGTGTGGTGGGACACACACAGGGTTTCTCTGTGTTAACAGCCTTAACTGTCCTGGAACTCTCACAGAGATCCCTCTGCCTCCTGAGTGCCAGGATTAAAGGCATGAGCCGCTACTTCAAGGCTATGGCACACACTTTTAATCCCAGAACTTGGGAGGTAAAGGCAGGTGAATTTCTGTGAGTTCAAGGCCAGGTTGATCTACATAGCGAGTTCCAGGCCAGTCAAGCTACATAGTAAAATACTGCCTGAATTGAAACAAACGAAAAAGGACCAGGGCCAGGTGGTGGTGGCATATGCCTTTAATCCCAGCATTCAGGAGGCGGATCTCTGTGAGTCTGAAGCCAGCCTGGTCTCCAGAGCAAGTCCAGGACAGCTAACGCAACAGAGAACACCCCCAAGAGAGTCTAAATAACGTAGAAGGCAGGAGACAAGGATCACTACCTGAGGTTACCCTCTGACTTCCATATATATCCATAGCAAGTATGTGTACATAATCATATACACATACATAATAAAACACACACACGTTAAAAAATGTCTTAGGAGATAGCTCAGACAGTGAAGTGTTTGCCATGCAAGCATGAGGACCTGGGTTTGAGCTCCCAGAACTGACACAACAAAGTCAGTAAAGGTGGCACATGTGTGTAATTTTAGCAATGGCATCAGAAAGGTGGATCCCTGGGTCAGCCCATCTTACATAATTGGAAAACCAATTATAAATGGGAAAACAGGCCAGGGACAGACTGTCTCAGAAAACCGAGGTTAATGGTACCTGAGGAACAACACTCAAAGCTGACCTTTCTTCCATACTCATACGCACACATAAAAGTAAGTAAATACAATTAAATATACATAGCATACTAGTATATGCTACAGATTGTGTAAGGAAGTATTTTAAGAGTTCAAGGTTGGAGACCTTGAGCTACAAGGACTAGGGCAGGTGTCTTCAAGCACTAGGGGTAAAAAAAAAAAAAAAAAGATCACCAAGGAAACGGACTTGGCTGAGACATAGCACCTGTGAACTTGGGAGAATGACACATATTTTTGCATTCTCCTCATTTTCTATATATAGAGCACAAGAGACACTTAGTGACTGACTGAAGGAAGGAAGCAGAGAGCAGACTACATCTTTTTCATAGTCTTAGAAGAGGAATGTCTTGATGAAAATGGCATTTCATACCCCTGACCCGGCAGCAGTAATGTGTCCCAAGGAGACATCAAGAACCTAACACATTCTTGGCTACAAACCTGTACAAATATTTCCTTAACTTGAACAAATGTTTCTGTATTCAATTTACTTCGTTTTGTAAATTCTTAGAAACAATAACTGCTTCTGTGAGTCCTTTACACTGATTTAGTGCATAGAACTAATCATGCAAGGTAAAATCCCCACCACAGTGGAAGCTTTGCTGTGTAATCAATTCCCAAGAGCCCCAGCTAGACTACGACAAGCTGTTCTCCAACTTTGCTTTCAGATACCTGAGAGTGCTTCCCCCCGCTGTAAGACTTCTTCAATATTGGCCACCATGATCCTCTGCACATCTTGCAATTCAGTGTTGATGGAGCCTAGATTTCTCCGAGCACGACTATCAATGTAGAGTTTCTTGGTTTTCTGAATGAAGGTATCTAGAATGATGATAAGTAACCATTAATGATTTTCCTGTGCATCAATCCACTGAAAGAGGTAACTAGAACTTGAGTTTATTCCAAGATTGGCCACTGTCCACTATCTTGAGTTTATTCTTACATCTGCCATCTGTCTGCTGTTGGCTTTGACCTCTTTGTAAAATGTTAAGATTTTACACCTCTGGGACACCTCTGAGTTTGAGGCATTTACTTCCAGAATCTATGGAGATATTAAGACCCATTCAAGTGAACCATTCCAGTAAAACATCCCCTGAAATAACGCTGGAACACTTTCTCATCACAGCCGACAAGCGCAAAAGAGTGACATCAGCAGTTCACTTTCCACATTCACCCTGTGCTTCCACTTCAAATCAAACGTGACACAAAGCTTCCAAAATCACCAATACAGAAGTGCAGTCGCATCCATCTGTAACCTGTTCTGTATTTCTCAAAACTGTGGGATGACCTATTAGAAATATGTTCAACTCTTGCCAAAACGAAGTACCGCTGTGTGTGCTGATACCTGACTTGGCTTTCAATTCCTGCTCCATTCTCCTGCACTTTGGGATGTGACCTGTGTACATTGTCATACATCAGGTTCCGGCTATGAAGGAACTCCAACGGGAGGGAGCAGGCAGTGCTGTCAGGTAGCCACTCCCACTTTCCTGAGGACTCACTGGACTAGCCGTATTCCTCCACTAAAAGCTTCTGTTCCTTCAAGTTGGTCGTCCCCCTAAACGTTCTCCTTTTCAGTTCAGAAGCTGCTCCTTCCCTTGGCATCCTCAGCCTGAGGATGGGAAAACTACTGCTCATGGTCCCAAGTCACTATACCTGGTCTTACCTTACAGTCCGTTCCTATCTTTATTCACCTGAAACTTATTTGGGAAGCCATCTATTTCCTTTGTGACCTTGTTACACTTGTCTTATTATTCCCTTGGATTTACTAAACTTATTAGCCAGAAAAATATCATTTAAAATTATGTGTTATATAAATTAGCATTAGGTCATTTTTATTCTGTATTACTAAAAGCAAGATGATACACCTGTCTAACAAACTTGAAAACTTTAGAAATTCTAAAGTGTAAGTATTTCTCTTTTGACCAATATTTCAGCAGTGCATTCTGATTCTATCTGTTCTAGCTCCTGATGCTTACTGTGCACAGGCCATTTCCCTTGATCCACTGACAGCACAATCTTTTACAGGTCTGACTGGTGCTGAGCCTTCCCATAATTCTTGTGCGAATACAGACACTCACACTTGCCACTTCTGATTGTAGCAAACAGGGTTTTTAAATACCATATATTTTCTAATTGGAGAATTAGAGGTTCTTATTCTACCGGGGGGGGGGGCAATCGTTTTTCCTGATTTCCAAATTCTGATTTCCATAAAATTAGTCTTATTGTGTGAGTCTATAGATTGGAGAAAAGAACTCAGTTATGACAAGGCAGTCAAGTATACTGTCATGTACAATTTGGTGCACAAACCAGACTACAAAAAGGCACATGGGAAAAAGGACAAAAGACTAGAGAAATTTACTGACAAGAAGGAAGCCTTCCTTCAAAAAGATAAAAGGTAAATTTGGAGAAGGGACAGAATCAAACTCTTCCAGGAGGAAACATGTTCATATTATATAACCAATGTATCACAAAGTTTCTCCACCATATTTACTCTCTTAATAGAGAAATGCGGTCTAGTCTTACCAAACTCAATGAAGGAATAGGGCCTAGACACAGTAGGCACCTTCTTCCCATGCTGTTCATCAAATTCCGAGTGCAGGTCTTCCAGGTAGGCAAAGGCCAACTTCTTAGGGAAGGCAGCTTCACACAAGACTAAGTAACACACCCCCTGCTCAATAATGTAGCTGGAGGGAAAAGCAAGACACAGTTACTTATGAAGGACTCATACTTCATGTTGAGGCTAACTTTTAAGACTGTATCAACTTTTGAAAACATCAGTAAAAAGGTTTCACTTCAGATCACAAACTGTTAGAACCAAAAAACCAACTACCTTCCCACTACTAAACATATATATCCAAAAGAACAGAGCTGGCAAGGGTGGCTCAGCACTTAAGAACACTTGCTCTTGAAGAGGATGAGTTCAATACCAGCAGCCACAGGGTAGCTCACAACCATCCGTAACTGCAGTTCCAGAGGATTTGAATGCTTCTTCTGACCTCTGTGAGCACCAGGCATGCATAGGATACACACACATGCGCGAATGCGCACATGTACACACACACACACACACACACACACACACACACACACACACCCCACTATAGAAAAATACCCAGAAGAGAGTAGACACATTGTAACTGATTACTCATTACACAATTTTTCGATTTATATGAATACCTAAGAGATTATTTTGAAAGCATGATGACTCTATCCTTTGATCCTGTATGACAAAAATATTAATGCACACATATGAAAGTCCTTCCAGTTATAACATAAAATAGAACTAAAATTGTATGGAGAAAAAAAGTTGGAAGTTAAATGAGATAATGTTTACTGGCACAGAAAAAAGCCACCTCAAAAACAGTCAAGCTGCCTGCCTATTTCTGCCTAGAAGAATGTTGTGGAATATTATTTTAACTAGGCAAAGACATATTACAAGTATTTCTGCTGACTATGTTAACCATGTAAAGATGTTTTACATTTGTTTACACTGCATGTGTTTAATTATGAAAAGATGTGTTGCTGTTTCACCTTGCCTGCCTAAGACACCTGATTGGTCTAATAAAAACGCAGAATGGCCAATAGCTAGGCAGGAGAGGGGGTAGGGCAGAGAGAATAAGTAGGAAGAGAATGAGAGAAGGAGGAGGAAACACTTAGGCCAGCCAGCAGACACAGAATAGGACATATAGAAAAAAAAAAAAAAAAAGGTAAAAAGCCCCAAGATGGAAGGTAAAGAGAAATAGGTTAAGTTAAAAGAGCTAGCCAGAAATGAGCCTAAGCTAGGCCAAGCATTCAAAACTAACAAGTCTCCCAGTCATGATTTGGGAGCTGGTTGAAGGCCCAAAAGAAAAAGCCAGGTACAGAAGAACTCTAATCAATTGGAGAATCATTCAACAATGGAACTGACTCCTTTTTGTGACAGTGAGCTCTCTGGCATTCTGGGAAGGGGCTTTATGATTATGAAATATTCTTGGAGGAAAAGTTAAGCTACCAAGAGCTTTTCAAACCTTTTAGTCACAGTACTCTTTATTCCAACAGAACATATGCTAATAGGGCTTACATGAGCAGTGGACAAAGTCAGAGGTTCTTTGGTTTAGGTGGTTTAAAAGCACAAAGTCTGACATAAATTTGCATCCCTGCCTTCTGTTCCCGACTCCTGAGGCACCCTAGAATCCTTCAAAGGAACATCTACAGACTTACTCTCTCAGGCACAGAGTGATGTTTAACAACACTGACTTCCTCGACTTTAACCTGCAGTCATTTATAATACTGGTTTCATTCCCAGAGAAGTAAACAGGACTTACTGCCCTACTTCAAAGCCTCAGGAACACACAATACCAGTAAAATAAAGTCATACTCTGGTAGTGTTGATGGCCTTTCAGATGAAACCGTAAGTCACACTTTATCATAGTCAAATGGCACGGTGTCTCTAACAAACTAGACACCACACACCGTCTAAACTATTCTTTCTCACTGTGGTGCTTTTACACACCTGGAAAAATCCTGTTCCTTCTCATATGTTCAAGCCTCTATAATTTCTTTTTTCTGTGAAATTTTAATATCCCCTTTCCTTCCAGTCCCTTTCTTCAAACACCCAAGTAGGAATTTACTGCTTTCTTCCAAGACCTTCATTTACATTTCTTGTTCTAAAGCCAGGCTCCTTAACTGGTGAATTGTGACCCTAAATGGCACAGTGTAGCAGAATGTGGAACTGTGGAAAATCTGCCAACACCACAATGTTTCTGAATGAGCAAAACCAAAATGGAAAACGGAACATGTATGATATTTCTATCAGGGTTTTACAACAATGAATGGTGTGCACTTACTGCAGCCTTGGTTGTCAACACTCGTGCAGTTTGCCCTGCACAGGATGTCAAGACACATGCCAACAAATGCCCGGAACACCTGAGCTCAGACCTGAGACTGCTCTATGTCATGAATTAAGTGTTCCTACATGGTACATCTCTAATTTTCTGCTCTTATAGAAAAGATGATGATTTGATAATAGAAAACAAACACTTTTCCTATCATTATTCCTCACTATGTAACTACTAAAATAATATATATTTTACTATTAGCCATGTTTGATTTTAAAATCTGCTGTTTGAGTTGCTGACTTGAGTTGCATTAGAAAAACAAAATCATTAAATGAATTTTGGCTTGAAATCTGGACAGAATTTCCACCAGTTTCTGAAATGGCCTTAACCATACATCTGCCATTTTGCACTACATACTTATGCAAAGCAGTGTCCTCAGCACTGAAGATTATAAAATTAAAATGAAGATAAACTGAAAAACACTGATGATGCTCTATACCCTGAGAATCTAACATTCAGTCAAGATTCAATCCTTTATGTAAAAATAAAACACATTCATTCATCTCATGAGCATGTAAATTTGCTTATATTTTCAATAAGTATCAAATTACTTGTACACCAAAGAATGACTTAAAATAAATCTTGAATAATTTATGACCAGTAAACATTTAATTTGTGTACCTCCTTTCTGTACCTATGTTCTCAGAGTCATGTAAAAATGTCATGGACAGAAGAGTGAATGGGAAAGTTTAACAAGCTGTAGTGAGAGATCTACCAGACACACCTGTGGCACTGACCTTTGGGCGTGGTCACAGGTGCTTATCAGAGTGAGAGCATGTGGGATTTGGTCTGGGGTACAGGACAGGCTTGCCCTCTATGGGTTCAGTGCGGTCACGGAGAGCAGCTGAGTGTTGATCCTCGGAGCTGGAACTTGGGGGTCATCGGTTTCTCCTGTAAGTGACTTCTCCCCGAATAAAATTAACCTATTTATCCTAGTCCTGTGTATCTTAATTTGTACAACCACAATGAGCTCTGCTCTACAGCACTGTACTGGTTTGAATGTGACTCTGTTAGGAAGAGCACTGGCTCATTAGGAAGTGTGAGCATTCATGAAGACAGCACGGCTCTGGCAAAAAGGAAATCTTTATAAGCTCTTCAGCAGAAAAAACCCAAGATTGTTAAAGTCCTATGGGAATCAGAGGAAAATTTCTTTGCAGGTCCAAAAGATCTGTCTTAGGTTGTTCATTCTCTCTTCCACGTGGAGCTACAGGGTCATCCTACCATTCTGCAGGGGATTACATCCAGGGTACCCAGACTTACTAAAATTGGAAAATGCCTGAGTTCCTTATATAAGGTGAAACAATATTTGCACAAAATCCATGTGTATCTTTTTGTATGCATCAAATCATCTTAAATACCCATTAGAGTATAAATGCCTTGTCAATAGCTGTTTAGGGAATAATGATAAGAAGAAGAAAAAAAAAATGCCACAAAACCCACATCTGTTTAGAACAGATATAAGTTTTTAAAAATATTTTCAATGCATAGTCCTTTGCTATGGACATGGCTTCCACACAGACAGAACCTGTGGACTTGGGAAGATAACTGTATCGTGTAATTAAATGGATACATATGCATTATTTTGGCTAAGTTGCTTAGACTGGTCTCAACTCAGGGGCTCACATAGCCTAAGCCTCCAGACTAGCCCAAACTGCAGGTGCATGCTACCTCATGGCCAAATGGCTATAGTTTTTTTGGTGTCTAAATGAAAGTATCTTTTAAAATGCCCTAAATACTATGTAATTGCTTTACAAAATGTGTGGCTACCATTTTCTTTTAAAGCATACTTGATTTTGAAAGGCTAAAGTACATCTGTTTGCATTGCTTGTTTATTAGTTGTTTGGTTTTCAGTTAAACCAAGCAGTTCCTCCTTGTCCTAATAGACCTTTCCACCTGAACTGCTGTCATTAGTCAACCCTTTTTTTATTTGCTGTGATCTTCTATAACATCTTTCCCTTTCAACCCTTTCTGTTTTTTATAGACTCAACCTGGCATGTATTATTTAACACCAGTTATCTGTAGATAATTAAAAATCCAATAAAGTTCCTGTGATGGTTAATACTGTCAACTTGGCAGGATGTGCCTAGGAGAATCCCTGGGCACATCTTTGAGGGAGTTTCTACACTGAGTTAACCAAGATGGAAGATAAGTGCAAACATCAGTGTTCTAGGGGCTGACATCAGGACTGAAGAAGGACGGAGCGGAGCAAGATGAACAGCAGCATCCCTCTCTGCCTCCCGACTACAGACACATAAGGAGCAGCTACCTCAAGCCCTCCCCACTGTGACTTTCCCGCTGTCATGGACTGCACTCTCGAGGAGACAGAAATAAGCCCTTCCTCCCTTAATTTGCTTCTGACAGGTTCTCTGGTGCAGCACTGAGAAAGTAACACAGTTCCTCCCATCCATCTCTTAGTTTTGTGCATGTCCTTACCCATGGAGCAGCTGGGGATATTACTCAGTGGTAGGGTACTTGCATAGCATGCAGGAGGGCACTGGGGTCCATCCCCAGTAATAAAAACCAAACAGAAACCCATCACTTACTTCCTGGAACTCGCTCTTGTAGACTAGGATGGTCTCAAACTCACAGAGATCCACATGCCTCTTCCTCCCGAGTGCTGGGATTAAAGGCGTGCGCCACCACCACCCGGCTAACTTTGACACTTTTAAATTCTCTTATACTTTTAAAACATTTGTTATCTATTCTCTATGTACCAAGGAAGATGCTAAATATGTACTCATCTCCTTAAAGTCCTTGTAGAGAAATCCTTTGAAGAGAAAGCCAGGGCGTGGAGATGTTTTGCGAATTGGTAGGTACCACTGTTAGTGAACCTTTGAGCAGGAGTCCTACCTATGTGTGTCTGGCTCCAAGATGTTCCTAAGCAAGAAGTTACCTATTATTGCACGATAGGTATAGTATAGAATCTGCTGGACACAGATTAACAAGTTAAATTACTGTAAGCATGTTAACTTAAAAAAAAAAAATCAAGATTGCAGTTTTCTAGAAAGAGAGCCAGAAAAAGTGCTTCCATAAAGAGACCACATTTTTAAAGCTATCTTTACGTTTAAGAAACTGTTACTATTCTGGGCTAGGGAGATGGCTTAGTCAGTAAACTACATGCCTTGCAAGCTTGAAAGCCCCAAGTTTGATCCCTAGAACACATGTTTTGTGTATTTTTTAGTGCCAGGTGTGGTGACACTCATTTATAATTCCAGCTCTGGAGAAGGAGATATGCAGATCCCTGGGGCTCACTGGCCAGCTAGCTTAGCTTACTTGAGAGTTCCAGGACAATGAGAGAGATTGTGGAGAAAAGAAAACAAGAGAGAGGTGGATAGAACCTGAGGACTGTCACCCAAGATTGTCCTCTGGCACTGGAGCATGCATACTGGTGCACACACATACACACGCTTGCAAAAAGCATCATATTAAATATTTAAAAAACTATGCGTATATGCATTTATTTTTAAATGCACATTTAAAAATAGAGTATATGGGAGGAAGTATGTGTGTGAGTTGAGGTAACCTTGAAAGGTACAAGAGGGCATCAGATGCCCAGGAGCTAGAATTACAGGTGGCTGTGAGCCACATGATATGGGTGCTGGGAACTGAACTCAGGTCCTCTAGAAGAACGGTAAGTGCTCTTAATCACTGTGCCATCTTTCCAGCCCCTACTGTTATATTCTTATAAGGTGTCACATCACCTTATACTTAAATGATCACAAGGAAGTCAGAGCTATACTCACTGAAAAGTCATGGCTCCTGCTTCCAAGGTACATCTGGTAGGGGACTGTTCATTCAGTTTTCGAAAGAGTTGTTTAGCCTGACTCTGATACTGCTGAAGGTCTCGGCCTGACTGAAAGAAGAAAACTTCATTGGAGAATTTAGCACAAACACGAAAAGTTGTATCAGTTAGAAGCATCATGCCATCATAAGAATATTATGGAAATAAGGTCCTTTATTTAGCCATTAATAAGATTCATTTCAATAAAGAAAACGCTTTACTTTTAGAACAAATAAGAAAACCTAACTCCTAGTTTTCCCAAGACCCCAGCATTTAATTGCTAAGAAACAAAAGTGTGTGTATCAACCACAAGTAAGGCATTCAGTGTTCATTTCACTATTAGCTCACCACCCTCCTCCTTACCCATTCCCCCCACAGTTACTGGCATGAAACTGTACATCCTGTGACACACCCTGGAGAAAGTTCTCAGAACCAAAGACTGTGAATCTCATTTTTTATGCTGGAGTCAACAAAATCTCACAAAAGTGGAAGAGCATTTAAGTAAAACCATCTGCTGCCCCAGACTGAAAACCCCATCAACACTACCACTGCAACTAGGCAAAAAGGCCAGCTCTCCTTTATTACGTGAATCTATTTGATTCTCCAGTTTAGGTAGCAACTCAAATGGTATAGTTAGTATTTCTCTGAACAACTTCTTTAAAAGAAAGGGAGCGGGTACACGGTAGTCACATCATTTTGAAAGGATAAACTCATACCTTACTAATCTACTAGAGTCAAAGGAGAAAAGTAGTCCATGAAGAGTGAGAAGCAAATATACACTGTTAATTCACCCTCTTCCTGGGGAGGAGGACTTTCTGCTAGCTATGGTCTGAAGGTCTCTACTGTCCAGTTCTGAAAATTTCACCACCAAGCTGATGGTAAGAAAGTGGAGCCTTTGGGAGATGTTCAGTTATGATGACAGAGCGCTAATGGTTGAGGGTGACGCCCCTGTAAGAAACCCCAGAAAGCTAATTTGGCCTCTGTAGCACATGAAGACCCACACAGAGGTCTATCTATAAACTAGAAGCAGACACCACATCTGGAGCCTTGTCTTCTTGGCCTTCTCAGACCTAGAGAAGTATCTTTTGTTGTTTATAAGCCATCCAGTTTATACACACAAAGCCCTAATTTTCCCAATTTTTTTGGGGGGGGAGGGAGATAATTTGTTTTGTATTGAAAAATAGACTAGCCTTCTTTTGGCAGGTATCTCATAATGCTGAAATAAAAGTGGTTATATTAGTTCCCACAGTCTGGCAGCACACCACTTAGCAAATAGCAGAAACAAGCAGGCAGTTATAACATGGCAGGTCTGGAAAGGTACAAGTACAGAAAGGTGGGGATCTAGAATTTCAATATGGCTGAGGTAATGAATAAGCATAAGATAAGCCAGGAGAGTCAGGCAGAGTTCACTCAATGAACTAACTGTGGATTCATCTTCTTTAGTATTGCTGTTATGGTAATGATCTGATACAATGCTATTTGTTTAAGAAATGCTTCTGTATCAATATATGTATGTATATAGATAGTATATCAATTTAAACATTAAACAGTACCTTATAATAAGCATATTTAGCAGGATGCATGCATGCATGCATCCACCCATGACTCGTCAAGCAGAACATGTTAGTAAATATTGTCATGTTTTCAGTCAGTAAGAACTAGTGCATAACATCCTATTTTCATATGTGAATGGTATTTGCCAATCTGTTTGCTTCAACATGACATTATGTGGCATGAAGAGATCTGAACCCACAACAGCACTTGTAAGGGATCCAACTAATGTTGGGACTGTCACTAAAGTGACAATGAAGAGTACGTCTATGATTTCAACTTTGGCTTCACATTGGCATTACCTAGTGATCACTACAATTTGCAAAAAACAAAGCAATGTCATGCACCGTGGGCAAATCTACATAGAGATTACAGTATGACAACCAACACTAATGCTGGTCAGTTAGCATTATTATTCCTAAGAACAAAATCATTTTGGCTAAATAATATTTTTTCTGACATATTCACACAATAGACTACTAGGCAACCATTAAAATATTTAATGATGAGACAATATCCAGCAGGTACAACTATTAAGTGGAAAAATGAAGTCAATCTTACAGTATAACTCTTTATTTAATTTTACATACACACAAAGGAAGGGGAAGGAGGAGAGGGAGGGGAAATATGAGAATATTTGAGTATAGACTACAGGAAATAAACATCATTAGCACCTTGGATCTTTTGGTTATATAAGTCACTAAACTTTCTCAATAAGCATGGATTAATTCTATAGTATAAAAATTATTCATCGCCATCTTTGTACAAAGAATGCTATGTGTAATTCTGGTTTGTAAATTTAAAGACAGGCTAGAATTTGGAAAAATGCTTCAGAAATAAAGTTAACACTCACTTTTCGTCAGAGACTATTCTGAACATTATACATAATTTAACTAATTAAATCATCATAATTACTCTAGGAGGTGATTTGAATTACTATTCCAATATTATACTCTAGAAACCAAGTTTGGGCAAGGACTCTACGGGGCTAGAAAGAGAAGGTCTAGGATTTGTCCTAGATAATCTGACCATACAAACCCTGTTTCAAGCATTATGACAGATCCACCTTCTAGACAATGTCTTGTCAACCATAAAACTCACAGGAAAAGCTCAAGGAACTATGTGGTATTTGATCGAGACCCCACAAAAACAACAAAACCACTGCTTTACAGACAGATGTAGCTTGTTTTCAATTTCAAAGTCACAAAGGTCTCACAGTCAGTTAGCTCAGCTAAAAATACCTAGATGCCCTGATTGTGCTTTCTATTTCATGTAGAAGAAATCAAACCTCTGTCTGCCCTGTAAGATACGTTATTAACCCAATAATGAAGAGAATGAAAACAGCTCGCTTTGCCAGGAGGCAAACCTGAGGTCATCCACTGGTCGTCATCTAGTACACTTAGGATTGACTCTGTATTACAAAAGGTACAAGACAGTGATTTGCCTCAGAACCTCAGTACTTTTCCCATCTCACCTAGATCTGGTAGACAACCAAGTATCATCCTTTAGCTTTCTAACAGTATTTCAGATTTGGTTTTATTTTATAAATGAATATATCAGGTATACTTATAAAGCATGGGTGATCCCTAAACTGCTCTGTAACAGCCAAGTGCCACCCCATCATGGAGATCATGGATGATGACCTCATCCTTTTCATTATCTCCCACTTCCCACATACCTTAGCACTGCCAAAGATCACTGCATTCTGTAAGAACGTTTAGCTAAGGCCTTATCATTTAGAGATCCTTGATAAACTTAGCTGGTCAAAGGCCAGCCAGTTCAACCAAGAACCAGCCATTTTCCTCTGTAGGCAACCATAGTAACTGCCACTAAATAAGGGAAGTTTTACAGCAGGTTACTTGTTTTACTGGAGCTCTATCATCTACCTGGTTAGTTCTAACACCTTTCCCAAAGCTGAACTGCCCTTCCAGAATTAGTGAAAAATTAAAGCAAATACAGTAATTTTGAGGTAGAACAGAAAGCTATATAAAAGAAAATGCAAACATCCTAAAAAGAAAAACATGTCCTTAAAGAGAAAGAGAGAGAAAGGAAGGGAGGGAAGGAGGGAGAGAGGGAGGGAGGGAGGGAGGGAGGGAGGGAAAAGAAGAGAAAAGGAATAGGATTATCAGTGAGTCTGGGTGAAGAAAAGTTCACCTCTACCTGCCCTAAGCCTAACTTTCTAGTTAAGCACATACTCAACATTGTATAAACTGCCCTGTCTATAGTATATGTGCTACTCTCCACCGCATTATCTGAATAGCCAGTCATCTTAACAGCATACATAGGGACTGGCACCTAGTAAATACCTAAAAATAACCTAGTGAGTATCAGTACAAATAATTAAAGCTACACGAGTTACTTCGGCTTGGACACTTAGAGGACTTAACATAAAACTATTTGATCAAGATAATCTACGTCTTAAAAGTTATTTCTGAGTTGGGTGTGATGGTATGTTCTTGTAATTCTAGCACTCAAAAGGCTAAAGCAGAGGGATCAATTCAAGATAAGCTCCAGCTATGCAGAATATGTCCCAATTAAAAAAAAAAGTTACTTCTATGTTAATAAGAAGGGAATGCATGGTTGAAAAGTCTCACACAAGGCAATACAGAATAGTGGTTAGGAACAAAGGTTCTGGTCTAGAGCCAAACTGATACTGATGAAAAAAACAGCAATTACCATAGTCAGCAATTCTCAGCCAGGACTGATTTTGTCCCCAAAGGACAAAGTTGTTCAAGTTGTTAGAACAAAAGGACAGAGATTGTGCTACTGCCATCGGGAAGTAGAGGCCAAGGATATTAGGAGGCTTCCTACAAGGCACAGGACAGTCTCTCAGAACAGAGAATCACCCAGCCCCAAATGTGAACAGTGCCAGGGAAAAACAGACCCATCCCCCAACTTGTTAGCTGTGTGACTTTAAGCAAGTGGCCTATTCCCTGTAAGCCTCACTGCTTCCCTCTGTACGAAGGGTGATAAGAGCAGGAACTCTAACACGGATGGTATGATGACTGAGGAAATACTGCACTTGGCAGGCTCGGGACAGTGCTGCCTCTACCAGGCACTCTGTAATGTTCTGTATACCACTATAATGGTAAAAAATGAGTCCAAGACTGATGCCCTTTACAGACATTAAAAACTTAGAAAGAGTATTATTTAGAATCAAAATTACTGAAGAAATGCTGGGATCAAAACGACAAAAACACTTCTGAGGATAATTTCTTGCCAATGAGACAAAGCAACCCGTTTTGGCAGAGCAATAACAAATAAATACTAAGCTTAAAAATTCAGAATCAATCAAGGGACTTTTCATTAAATTATCAAAGCAGACACTAGGGGCCCACTAATAATAAATAGCATTTCACATCCACTGTGGTCCCCCTCCTCCATTAGAATTCAATGTAACTGGCCAGATTTTGTCCCTCTTTACCCCACTGCTACCCCTTGGGGGGGATATTTCTCAAAGAACGTGTCTTCTCCAAAAATGCCCTCCCCCCATCTCCTTTGTTCAGATCACATTCTTGGGCTCATTTGAACAATATACTTTATTAGAGCAGGTGAAAATCAGGCATAACTGTGAAAGTAGGCACTGTACTGAACTTTGACAACTTTATAAGTGGCAAGATTACCTCATCCTCTTTCAAAAGATGTCATCAGGCTAGGTCAAGGATCAGGTGCTACAGGAAAACGAAGTGAAGAAATGAGGGGTTGATCTTCCCCGAGATGTATCAGTCAACAGTCTTAAGAGCAGCAGAAAGCGAAAGTCCTGAATTTTAAGGAAGTCCCTAAAATCTCATCTCCAACTGGGTGGGTGATCACAATTAGCCAAAGATACCCTTTCTCCGGAGGATAGCTAAAGAGAAGTAGGTAACACTAAACTCTAACTCCTTCGACGAAGGTTTCTTCTCGCAGGTAGTCTCTCCATCAGCAAACGGTAAAAGAGCTACGGGGGAGGAGGAGGAGGGAGTGCCTGCGAGGTCGCCAGGGTCTCGTTTGTCCAAGGAAGGAATCCATGGCTGGGAGCAGGGAGAGCTTGCAGAGACTGCAGGGCTCGGGGCTCCGGCTGCAGCTTACCTGTTCGTCCTCCTGCATCGAAGCGGCCAGCGGAAGCCCGTCGGCCACGCGGGCAATCATTGTCAGCAGCACCATCTTCCCAGGTTATGGAGACTCGGACGCCTCGGTCACTGTCCTCTCTTCTCTCGCGGTGGCCAGTTACACCTCCCGCTCAGATCCCCAACAGCTAGCCGCTGGCGTCTCCACTTCCCGCTGAGGTGGCCGGAAACGGCTCCGGAGCGTTCCACTACCGGTCCCTCCAACTGGCTTCCCACCGGGAACTACCTCCACCTGAACTTTAGTTCCGCCATCTTTCCTCCTACCTCCTCCGACTAGCCAAGTTCCGCCCACTTTTGTGTGGTTTTGTTTTTGTTTGTTTTGTTTGCTTGCTTTCACAAAGTCGTGTCTCTTGAAGCGGCGTGGCACCCAAGCTGAAACAATTTTCTTGTTTCTTTACACTTGACGTATTCGAAAAGGGCTAGAAAGGTGACTGAGAACGAACTTTTAGTGTGAAGCAACTGAAGAGATATATTTTCAGATTTTCTAACAGGAAATTTTATGTATAGCATGATTTTATATTTGTGTATGTCTCTGCAGACATTTTTTGAGGTTTTATGTTGTTGTTGTTGTGGTTTAAGTGTTTATCCTGCCACAGGTTCTTAAACAGTTTGTGGCAAGAGATCAGCAAAGAGAGGCTGGAAAGGCGACATGGGGTCAAGAAAGCTGGCTGCTCTTGCAGAGAGATCTGATGTTCTCTTCTGGCCTCTTCAGACTCTGCATGCAGGTGGTGCACAGACATAAGTGGAGGTAAAACTCTCATACACCTGAAAATCTTAAAAGGAGATCAGCAAGTAAATATTATATAAAATGATCAAGAACTGGCTAAGTGTGGTGATGTATTATGATTTATTAAAGCTTGCCTGAGGATTCAGAAAGCAAAGTCAGCCTCAAGCTATAGAGATCAGGCAGTGGCGGTACATACCTTGAATTCAGGACTCAGCGTTAAGAGATTGACGGATCTCTGTTAGTTCAAGACCACCAGGACCTACACAAGAGTGTAGAGTAACGGAGTTCATGCCTTTGATCCCAGAATCTGGGATCACACACCTTTAATCCCAGCATTAGGGAGGTATATAAGACAGGAGCAAGGTCTCAGAGCTGTCATTCATTCTCCAGCCACAATGAGGATATGAAGACATTAAAGACTCAGGATTCTCCAGCCACGTTAAGGAGAGCATTGCACTCTGAGATTTGCTAGAGCTAGGATCACCTTGCAGCCTGAGCTAGAGGTAAGAGCTAGTGGCTGACTGCTTTGCTTTTCTGATTTTCAGCTTGAAACTTGAACCCTAGTATCTGTCTCTGGGTCTTTTATTAATCGTGTTACAAACTACCATTAAGGAGGGGCCTCACATTTGTGCTCTTTGGTGTCCTCGTCTATGAGAAAGGGATATTCTTGGTCTCTAAAGCGTTTTGTGACTATTAAATGGGAACACGTGGGTTTTGTAAGTTAAAAAATGAAATTATACAAATGTATTTATTACACTAGTAACAACTATTCTTTGTTAAATGCTTATAGTTAGTCAATGAGTATTTATAAATTTAGCCAAACAGCCCAGCAAAATTTGTTAATTGAAGGCCCCCACTTCATAGTTGGGGAAGCCTCAGAGAAGGATTTTTCCAAAAAGGTTACATAGCTACCAGTGATGGGGACAGGATTTGAGCTCAGGTTCAACTTTAAATACTGATGTGATAATCATTCTCTTATATTCACTCCCCCGACTCATAGGTACCCCCCCCCAACAGACAGGGTCTTGCTATGCCGCTCAGGTTGGCCTAGAACTCACCTAAAGTACATGCCAGCCTTGGAATCGCAATCATATTCTGCCTCAGCATGCCACATGCTGGGACTCCAGATGTGAGCCACCACCCCTGGGTTCTGATGTGGTTCTTTCTTTCACCAGTAGATATAGGTTAAATAATGTATGCTTTTGTTACAATTTAAATTACCTTCAGCAATTATTCAGAATTCTTCATGAGACTTTTGAGTTAAGACTCAATGACACTGTGATTGGCTCATAATAAAGGATGAAGAATTGGAATAGGTAAGAGAAAGAAAACGATGGTGCTATTAACAGAGACAGTATAGAACAGAAAGCAACTTTGGGGTATATAATGCTTAATTTGGTAAAACAATAATGTGTTTATAACTATCTCTAACTTCTTTCTTCCATTCAAAAAAGATATGCCTCCTACCACAATCTCAAATGATTGTCATCGATCATGATAGAACGATTCTAGTAGTAGGGAATAACAAATATTTGCAATAAGGCTACTGCCATGTGGGTCAGGGAAGCAGAGAGAACAAAACATAGTAGGCGTGTGTAGAGAAGCTGACTTGGAATGAGAATCTCAGCTTGGTTTCCATTTGTTGCTCTCAGCTTTTCCCAAGGCCTGCTTGCACATTTCCTGTGCATTTACCAGATGCTGTTGCTTCTTTTAAACATATTTTATTTTTTAAATTATTATATTACCACATAAAACATTGCATTTAATTATGGTGTTTTCATGAGGATATGCCATTTACCATTGTTTCCTTATGATAAAATCCACTTCTCTTGCTTAGGCTACTTGAGTTACAAATTAATTGTTAAATTATTTAATTAATTTTAAATTAATTTGAGATTAGTTAAATTAATTTTTTAATTAGTTAATTGTAGTTACAAAATTTCTTTTTGAGTCAAGTCCCACCCCACCCCAGTGCTGAAGAACCAACCCAGACCTTACACAAGCCAGGCAAACATTCTACCACTGTGCTACATCCCTAGCCCTCTACCAACCATCTCTTGAAACAACATTCATACTCACACCCCTCATGTTTTCCTTTTAAACACACTACATGATTCTGGTGCTCTCAAACCCTGGAGTTGTTACTCCCAAAAGGGGGTGTGGTCTTCTTAGGTTGCTCAATAGCAACCGGGAAAAGCTAGTACTGTATTAGAGACTCTGGAATCTGAGTCACTTTTGCTTCAGACTCTGCATTGTTGCATTCACATCTGGCATTGCCTTGCTCTTGCTCTTTAATTCTTTTGAGCAGCATGGAACTGTGTGCTATGTACAGGGAAGACCCTGCTTGACTGTTTTGTAGTGAACGAAAAAAGAATATCCAGATTGCTGAAGTTCATGTTTATCCTTCACCTGAAAACACGCAGTGTGATGAAATGAGTAAAATTCCAGAACCTTGGTGGTGGGAATTGGGAGAGGCAGGGGAATGAATCATAGCCAGTGATGCCAGAGAATTCTTAAACCTTACCAAGTAATTGAATAACTCACACATCCAAATTAAATTCATTCATATTAAGCCATGGTACTGGCTGGTTTTGTGTGTCAACTTGACAGGCTAGAGTCATCAGAGAGGAAGGAGTCTCATTTAAGGAAATGCCTCCATGAGATCCAGATGTAAGACATTTTCTCAGTTAGTAATCAATGGGAGAGGATGTAGCCCATTGTGGGTAGTACCATCCCTGGGATGTTGGTTCTATCAAGTTTTATAAGAAAGCAGGCTGAGCAAGCCAGGGAAGCAAGTCAGTAAGTAACTCCCTCAATGGTCTCTGTATCAGCTTCTGCCTCCAGGTTCCAGCCCTGCTCGAGTTCCTATTCTGACTTCCTCCAATGATGAACTATGATCTGGAAGTGTAAGCCAAATAAACCCTTTCCTCCCCAACTTGTTTTTTGGTCATTGTGTTTTGTTGAAGCAATAGAAATCCTAACTAAGATAGAAGTTGGTACTGGTGACTAGGGTATTGGTATGATAGGCCTGATTATGTTTTTGTTTGGAGGAATTTGGGCTTTGGCACTTTGGGGTTAGGAAAGCAGTGGAATGCTGAAGCCCTGCTTAATGGTCCATACTAGCAGGAGTTTGGGCGACGATGGTGCTGAGGATGATGCAAACTGTGGGGGGCTAGCTCAAGAGGTTTCAGAGAATTTTAGAATGTTACCGAGAGATTGTTCTTGTGATAATTTTGATGAAGAATGTGGCTGCTTTTTGTCTTTGTCCAAAACGTCTGCCTGAGGCTAAAGTGAAGAGATTTGGACTAATTCTGTTAGCAGAGGGAATCTCAAAACACCCCAGTGTAGACCCTGTCGTGTGATTATTAGTGGTAATTCAAATAAAGATTTGCAATGAAAAGGAGCAAGCTGAGGAAGTAAAAATACAAGATGTACAGTTTGAGGAGAAAAGGAGCACCGAGAAATGGAATGGAGTTAAATCCTGTGTTAAAAGAGATAAACAGACTAAGAAATAGAATAAAAGGAATGGTGAGCTCAGGACAAGATCCCATCCAGCTAACTTTCCAACTTGTGAAAAGGAATTAAAGAAAATCTTAGAGTCTGGTGTGGTGGCACATACCTTTAACCCCAGCACTGAGAAGGCAGATGCTGGTGGATCTCTGAGTTTGAGGCCAGCCTGGTCTACAGAGCAAGTTCAAGAATAGCCAAGTTTAGGCAGTGAAGGAAATCATCAAAACAGAAAGTTGGTGAATATATAATTGAATGAGGGGACCATGCTCCAGTCTCATTAAGCTGCAGAACTTGGCAGCTCTATCCATGTGGTTCTGCAGTTAAGGACAGAAGAAAAGGGCTATGGAAATGCCCTCTGCAACTAAGGAAAGATGCTGAGGCCAGGCAAGTGCCTGAATGGAGGCCTAGAGGGACCATTGCATGAAGCTGTGAAGTTGAGGCCTGGATTGCCTTGGAGAATCTAAGATGTTAGATATGTCAGAGTCATGGGATAGCTGCTGAGGAAAGCTGCTAACAGGGATTGGAAACAGCCCAAAAGAAAGAAGTGTGTTTCAGTAAACAAAACTGAAATGAGTTGGAGATCTGAAGTGCTTTGACCCCAGACATGGGGATGCCAAGTTTGGAGTTTTTGCAGTTGGTTTTTGGTCTTGCTTTGGTTTGTATTTCCTTGCTATGCTTCCTTCCCTACATTTTGGAATGGCAATGTGTACCCTGTGCCACTATATGTTGGAGGTAGGTGATCTATTTTTTAATCTTGATTTTATAGGGGATTACAGTTAAGAGATTGCATGAATCCCAAAAGAGACTTTTAACGTTGGACTTTAAAACATTGTTGAGATTGTAATAGAATATGGACTAAATACATTTCACATTATAATATTATTATAAGTTTATAGTGATCAGGGAGAAGAATTGGTAGTTTGAATGCAATTGGTTCCCATGGGCTCATAGGGAATGGCACGATTAGTAGGTGTGGCTTTGTTGGAGTGGGTATGGCCTTGCTGGAGGAAGTGTTTCCCTGTGGGCATGTGCTTTGAGGTCTCTTTCATGTTCAAGTTCCCCATCTCAACTGCTATTGACTAAGTAGCTTCCACTGATGTTTTTTTTCCTTCTCGAAGTCTTCCAGCTCCTGTTTGTTATGTTGGACTTTCTTTACTCATTCTCATGGTTCAGTGCTACTGAAATTACTTAGTTACTTCTTCTGAGTAATTTCTTTTTGATATCCTTTTCTAAAAATTATTTATTATGTATACAGTGTTCTACCTGCATTTATGCCTGCATGCCGGAAGAAGGCACCAGATTTCATTATAGATGGTGAGCCACCATGTGGGTGCTAAGAATTGAACTCAGGACCTCTGGAAGAACAGCTATTAACCTCTGAGCCATCTCTCCAGCCTCCTCTTGTAGTGATATATTATTTATGATTTATTAAAGATTGCCTGAGGATTCAAAAAGCAAAGCCAGCCACAAGCCTTAGAAGCCAGTCACACACCTTTAATTCCAGCAGCCAGAAGCTAGGAGGTGGTGATACACACCTTTAATCCTAGGAATCAGGATTAAGAGGTAGATGGATCTCTGTGAGTCCAAGTCTACCCAGATCTATACGAGATTGAATCAGTCCAAAAGAGAATTATAGCTCATACCTTTAATCCCAACATTAGGGAACTATATAAGACAGAAGCAATGTCTCAGAGAGGCATTCATTCTCCAGCCACACTGAAGATAGGAGCATCCATTCTCCAGCCACACTGAGGGGAGGCAGCAGTGTGAGAATTGGTGAAGAGCTCATGCATGGATCACCCCTTTCAGCCTGAGCTTGAGGTGAGAGCTAGTGGCTGGCTGCTTTGCTTGTCTTATATATCAGCCTCTGGGTCTTTTATTTGTTCACGTTACACCCTCTTTTTAATGTCTTAAGGTTGTATCTGGGTCTTTTATTTGTTCAAGTTACACCCTCTTTTTAATGTCTTAGGTTGTATCTTTCAGCCACTCCTAG